CAGACAGCAGCAGAACTCCTCAGGGCCTCCTCCGCTGCTCCTCGCTCCCAGAGCCACGCTGAGCAGCGTCCCGGGACACAAGATCATCCAGCCCGGCCTCATACGCATGACCTCCATCCCCAGCACAGGCCTGCTTCTCAGCATCAGCCAGGTGTGTGACGCTTCTCCATCAGTCTGATTAAATCAGGTGTTTAATGCTGAATACAGATCATCAGGAAGAGCATTAAAAAACAGAGTCAGTGTTTCAGAATAAGAACTTGATCTGACTTTAATCATGAGTGTTACACACAATCCTAAACCTCAGTCCTATAATGTCTCAATCCGATTTATCTGTGTCCCTGCAGCACAAAAGCAGTGTTATGCAGTGAATTAAAGTGTTACCTGTCTCGTGAGCGTTTGTGTCCAGGAACAGATGTGAGAGTGTGGTTGTGAATGTGCTGCTGTTGTTGGTCAGGTGATCTCTGCTTGGGCTTCTGGGACAGTGATTCCTCCTCCGCTGTCCAAACACAGCGCTCGGATCATCATGCCTCCGCTGCTCAGAGGAGCTCAGGTGCGTCTCCTCACCTGTCTGGACATGCGCTGACCAGTGGTCGACCGATACTGGTTTTTTGACAGCCGATGCCGATATCTTGGAAAAACAGGGTGGCCGATATAAAGCTGATATCATTTTATTTGAATTAATATTTGGATTTTTAAAATGGATTTAAAAATAAATGTGTAAAATAAACATACTTATACTTTAGTATTTTTCACAAATTAATACATATTTAATACAAATATAATTAAAAAGGAAGTAAACTGTAACCAACAGGGTACTCGGTATTCTGGGAAGTTTGTGTGCATTGGGAATCATAATTTTTCAAATAAAGCACGAGTTGATTGCGCGTCTCCAGTGAAGCTGAACTCTCCTCCTGTCCGCATTCAATTCAGGAACACGCGATCATGCAAAATACAAAAGCACACTTCACAAGATCTTTGAAATTAGATGTTCATTAGTCATTAAAAGACTTGTTTAAATGATATAAATGCATATTTCCTGAATGCTGACGACAAACGAGAAAGTATTATAATGTTTGCCTTTCTGTTACTAACAATATAAAAGCAATCGTTATAATACTTTTTTGTATACATTTGAATTCCTTTGTTTAACAGTTCTATCGGATTCTTAGGCAGACTTCTATCAGTATTAGTCAGATCTGTTAACGACGACGGCGAACAAGAGGGAGAATGTGACCACTGTGTGTTCAGGCGCTGCCGTTCTCAACACCGTCAAAAATAAAAGTCCTGAATAAAAGTCGGCCAAAATGAAAAACTTATCGGCATTGGCGATATATCGGTTGTCCACTAGTATGTGTGTATATACAGTGGGGAAAAAAAGTATTTAGTCAGCCACCAATTGTGTGAGTTCTCCCACTTAAAATGATGAGAGAGGCCTGTAATTTTCATCATAGGTATACCTCAACTATGAGAGACAAAATGAGAAAAAAAAAATCCAGAAAATCACATTGTAGGATTTTTAAAGAATTTATTTGCAAATTATGGTGGAAAATAAGTATTTGGTCAATAACTAAATTTCATCCACATTTGAACATTACCGTGAAAATACTGATAACCGTGATAATTTTGGTCACTATAATCATGATAAGAAATGTTCATACCATTACATCTCCAAGTACGTGTAACGTGTGTAACGGATGCAGTGAATTAAAGTGTTACCTGTCTCGTGAGCGTTTGTGTCCAGGAACAGATGTGAGAGTGTGGTTGTGAATGTGCTGCTGTTGTTGGTCAGGTGATCTCTGCTTGGGCTTCTGGGACAGTGATTCCTCCTCCGCTGTCCAAACACAGCGCTCGGATCATCATGCCTCCGCTGCTCAGAGGAGCTCAGGTGCGTCTCCTCACCTGTCTGGACATGCGCTGACCAGTGGTCGACCGATACTGGTTTTTTGACAGCCGATGCCGATATCTTGGAAAAACAGGGTGGCCGATATAAAGCTGATATCATTTTATTTGAATTAATATTTGGATTTTTAAAATGGATTTAAAAATAAATGTGTAAAATAAACATACTTATACTTTAGTATTTTTCACAAATTAATACATATTTAATACAAATATAATTAAAAAGGAAGTAAACTGTAACCAACAGGGTACTCGGTATTCTGGGAAGTTTGTGTGCATTGGGAATCATAATTTTTCAAATAAAGCACGAGTTGATTGCGCGTCTCCAGTGAAGCTGAACTCTCCTCCTGTCCGCATTCAATTCAGGAACACGCGATCATGCAAAATACAAAAGCACACTTCACAAGATCTTTGAAATTAGATGTTCATTAGTCATTAAAAGACTTGTTTAAATGATATAAATGCATATTTCCTGAATGCTGACGACAAACGAGAAAGTATTATAATGTTTGCCTTTCTGTTACTAACAATATAAAAGCAATCGTTATATACTTTTTAATATACATTTTAATTCCTTTATTTAACAGTTCTATCTGATTATTAGACAGACTTCTATCCGTGTTAGACAACTGTTTGTCTAATTGACTGAGAATGTGCCGTTTTCAGCGCCGTCAAAATAAAAGTCCCGTCTTGAACATATCGGACAAACAGAAGACTGTATCAGCTGACGCCGATATTTGAAAAATGCCAAATATCGGCCGATATATCGGTTGACCACTTATATATGTCTCTTGCGCTGCAGTCGATCTTGGTGTCGCCGCTGCAGGTCTCCAGCCTCAGACAGCAGCAGAACTCCTCAGGGCCTCCTCCGCTGCTCCTCGCTCCCAGAGCCACGCTGAGCAGCGTCCCGGGACACAAGATCATCCAGCCCGGCCTCATACGCATGACCTCCATCCCCAGCACAGGCCTGCTTCTCAGCATCAGCCAGGTGTGTGACGTCTGTCCACGGAGAACTCTCTAGTGCTTCACACTGAATTCTAGGGCTGGGACGATGAATCGATGCATCACAATTCGAGGATCGATTCTGAGCATAGATTTGAACAGCAGATGGCGCTCTAGGCTAGTTTTTAACTGCACACTTAAATGCTCACGAACAGTGTTGGGGAAAGGTACTTTTAAAAGTAATGCATTACAATATTGCGTTACTCCCTAAAAAAGTAACTAACTACGTTACTTTTTATGGAAAGTAATGCGTTGTTACTTTTGAGTTCATTTTTAAGTCTGGGCAGGGCTTGCTTGTTTGTTTTTAATATAAAAAAGTTCTTCTTTTACAAACGTAAAAGCGCTTTCACAATAAAAGTGAAGTGAATGCGCCTCAGGCTGAAGGAAATGTAAATTCACGTCTGTACAGTAGAGGGCGCCGCTCAAACACATCTCATGAAGAATATGACGCAGGAGAAGAAAGTTCAACACTATTCAGCAATAACTAATGCTTATTAGTATGGTATTCATTATTAGTTGAATTTCTTAGATGCCATCTTGTAATTATGATAATTATGACAAGATAATCGTGGCATTTTATTAAATATCCGTTTACTAGGTGTTCCACATAATCAGTTATAACAGTATTATAATAAAGTTAGTATGTGACCCTGGAGCACAAAACCAGTCATAAGGGTCAATTTTCGGAAATTGAGATGTGGACATCTGAAAGCTGAATAAATAAGCTTTCCATTGATGTATGGTTTGTTAGGAGCGGACAATATTTTAAAATCTGGAATCTGAGGGTGCAAAAAAATCTAAATATTGAGAAAATCATCTTTAAAGTTGTTCAAATGAAGTTCTTAGCAATGCATATTACTAATCAAACATTAAGTTTTGATATATTTACGGTAGGACATTTACAAAATATCTTCATGGAACATGATCTTTACTTAATATCCTAATGATTTTTGGCATAAAAGAGAAATGTATAATTGTGACCCATACAATGTATTGTTGGCTATTGCTACAAATATCCCCCAGCGACTTAACACTGCTTTTGTGCTCCAGGGTCTCATATATCCCTAACTCACTGACTGTGTCCCGCAGGCCGCCGGCTCAAACCTGAAGTCTGGGTCAGGCATGTCGAACGCTGGTCAGGCGGCTAAACTAGCGCTGCGCAAACAGCTGGAGAAGACGCTGCTGGAGATCCCTCCGCCCAAACCGTCCTCGCCGCAGCTCACCTTCGTGCCGTCAGCAGCCAGTAACGAGTTCATCTACCTGCTGGGGCTGGAGGAGGTGGTGCAGAACCTGCTGCAGTCTCTGGGCCGAGGTGCGGATCAGCGCCACAAACACAGCGCTTTACACAGGGCTTCATACAGCAGCTGCACAGTAATAATCAGAAAGAGAAACGTGTCAGCACTGCAGTGTTCTTCAGTTAGATATCAATGAGTTTAGCTATAAAACTTCCATTAGGGACTTTAAACAAACATTACAGGAGACGATATAGTGTGATTTTTCAGCTCAATTATTCTCTGTTCTCGTTCGATAGTGTCAAGCTTAATCACCGTTAGGGATGTAACGATGAACCACGAGCCGTCAAATATGTGACGATTCAAATCGGTTGAGATGCCAAACAAATCGCGATACAATTGGAGTATGAATGTATCTCTGTCTTTAGAAAAGTTTACGTGATATTTTCTTTTCATCTTGCCTCTGAACGATACATATTAAAGTAGCGTTCTGTAGCGGATCAGCTCATGGGGAAATATGATTAATTAACCATAACTAGTTATAATTAACTATTCATATTTTAGATCCACTGTAGATATTTAGCTGACCACTCAGGGTCAACCGTCTTGTCAATTCTAAGAACGTTAATTTCCTGGTTAAAGGAAATAACTTTCTTACTGTACAATTCTATAAGTTTGTAACGTAAATCTGCATGATTATTGACTCCGGTTATGAGTAAACAATGAACACGTCAAGTGTGATACAAGTAAGGTTTTATTAACTACATAAACACTTAAACTAGTCCAACATACTACATAAACACATTATAATTCGCCTCGGTAAAAACGGATAAACTTTGTTTTTAAAATCATCCTCCTTTTTTTTCCTCTAACAGATGCCTGCTGTGGGTACGCTGCAGCTCCTCAAACATTGAACAAAATAAAACAAGTAAAAGCTTTTTTTTTTTTTAAATTACTTTCCAAATTTAGAAATAATTTCCTTCATTTAAGTAGTGTGAGAGCGCAACGATGCTCTAAATGTGTTGGCATAGCAACGAGATACTTCCCGTTTCCTTTTCCACCCGTCCTACGAAGGCCGTCTCGTTTCATTCTAGGCTGAGGACACTTCATATATGCATCCTACAGAGGATTACAGCGGTAACCACGGAAACACTGTATCATTGCTGTTCATGAGTGCCACCTGCTGGCAGAGAGTGAATCTGCGTCTCATTCAGCTCGTCTGCTGCTTCCTTCAGATATGTTTTGTGTAGAATAGTTTCACAAAACTAAAGTCAGACCATTCTGTTTTTGCTTCAGATTTAGAAATTATACAGTCTAATTTAGATTAAAAACTGCTCATGCTGCATGTATGCTGCATCTTTATTTGGATGATGGTTGCCTTAGTTTGTTTATATGAAGAACTTTCTTTTATTTGTGTTACTTGCTAATTTGATTTGCGGTTTGTTTTAAAATCTCAATTTAGTTTTGTTATATTTCAACTTCACTCAAAAAAAACAAAACATGCAGCAATATCCTATTAAAAGACGTACCTTTTCATTTACTGTATAATGTCTTCAATCTCATTTTGTTAAAAAAATCGTGAGAAAATTGAATCGTGAAATCAAAATCGTGAATCGAATCACACTGAAAATATAGAAGACCGAATCAAAAATGTGTAAAAAAGTCCATCTCCATGTTTGTTTATTGTTTTTCTTTTATTATCATATTGTTTTTATCATATCGCATATTATTCTTTTCCACAAAAGAAAGTAAGTCATTCAGGTTTGAGTAAATGATGACATAATAAAATTTTTTGGGGGTGAACTATGTCTTTAAAGGTTTTTTCCCCATCTTTTAATGAAATAATACTCTAAATAAGAAAATAAAACGGCCAGCAGGTGGCGGTAAATGTTTTTGAGTCTTTCATTCACTCGATTCATTCAAACCTCGGATTCATTCAGAAACTAAACACTGCTGTGCTGCTCACAGACAGTTCTGCAGTGGCTATATAGGTAATACTTTTGTTGACAAAACTGAGCAAAAACAGACAATATTGTGTTTAAAATATAAAACAATATAAACTTCTTATTTACTGAACTGTTTTTGCTTTTTAATTTTAGGGCATAGCTGCATTTATGGAGTTGTTGCTCTGCGTCGTATTTGTCAGCAGTCAGCTGTATGAAATGTAAGATGATGTATAGATCTGGGGGCGGGGCCAGTGCGTTAACTGCGTTAAAATATTTTAATCGCGTTCTTTTTTCATAACTAATTAAGTTAACACGTTAAACTGACAGCCCTAATTTGTCTATTATTCATATATTTTTATCATACTGAAATATTATCACTAATATATTTTTTATTAGCATCATATTTAAATGTTTTATTTCTTTTTTAGCATATTGTTATTTTTAGAATGTTACAATATTATTATCATCACATTGAAATATTCTATTTCTTTTTAGCATTAAAATTTTTTATTATAATAATTTTGTATTATTTCATATTATTTTGATCATATTGCAATATTATATATTTTTTCATATTTATATTATTTATATAATTTTCATATACATATATTTATTTTCACATTTATTTTCATATTATTGCTATTATTATCTTATTATATTGCAATATTATTTTATTATTTTCTATTATTTATTATTTTTATACCATATTTTCAGTATGGAGTTGAAGTGATGAGAGATGAGCAGCTCATGTTAGAACAGTCCTGAGATTTTATTTTCATAGCGGCACAATATAAATGAGAGTTTGTAAAGATACAGAAGCACTGCAGGATTGTTTTACTTTCTGTCTGAATATAATTAGACGCCAAACATCACAGTAAGTGTCATGTACTGTTAGAATGTTTACATGATCTGATGTGCTGATGTTCTGACCGGTGTGTGTGTGTGTCAGGTAAGCAGGGTCTGTACGCCGGTCTGGTGGTCAGCGCTGGAGAGCCGAGCTGCTGCTCTCAGTGTCAGACGGACTTCACCTGCTGCTGGCGCCGAGACGAGGGCGGAGCCGTCATGTGTGAGCAGTGCATGTCGTCCAATCAGAAGAAGCTGCTGAAGGCCGAACACACCAATCGGCTGAAGGTGGCATTCGTCAAGGCGCTTCAGCAGGAGCGGGAGATCGATCAGCGAGTGCTGCAGCATGCCACGCCCCCTGCCTCTTCATCCTCCTCCTCCTCTGCTCACAGGATGAAGGCCGATCAGGTCAAAGCGCGCTCCTCATCTTCAGCTCAGACCGTGAGCCGCTCCGCTGCGGCCGTCAAACAGGTGAGGCGTCGCAGCTGTGCATCTGTCAGTCTGAGGTCAGTCAAGTCACCGTTATTTATACAGCGCTTTTTACAATGCAGATTATGTCAAAACAGCTTTACAGTATTAAACAGGGAAATAGTGTGTCGAAATAGTGTTCCGTTCTCCTCTGGTCAGACGAAACCAGCAGTTTAATTGCAGGCTGCAGCAAAGTCAGATTGTGCAGAGGACTCATCTGGTTCCTGTGGTCGTCTGAGACAAGGTCTTTACAGGGGATCAGTCTCTGGGGCTCATCTAGTTGTCCTGATCTCCGCTGACATTCAGGGCTGTAGAAGTCATCTCTAGGTGCTGATTCACCATCTGATCTGGATTCAGACTGGATCTGGAGGCTACGGTGACCTCGGAATAAGAGAGAAACAGACTAATATTAGCGTAGATACCATTCTTCTAGTGATGTACCAAGTACATCGGGTGTTATGAGAAGTGTTCCCGGATCCGGTTGACCTAATTAATGCAGCCTAACAATCCTTTAACGGATTTGAATATTAGAAGCATATTAGTGTGTTATGTGTAAGCCAGGTTAAAGAGATGGGTTTTTAATCTAGATTTAAACTGACAGAGTGTGTCTGCCTCCCGAACAATGTTAGGTAGTGAGGTCGGTCTGAGGTTAGTTTGGGGTCAGTCTGAGATCGGTCTGAGGTCGGTCTGAGGTTAGTTTGGGGTCAGTCTGAGATCGGTCTGAGGTCGGTCTGAGGTTAGTTTGGGGTCAGTCTGAGATCGGTCTGAGGTCGGTCTGAGGTTAGTTTGGGGTCAGTCTGAGGTCGGTCTGAGGTTAGTCTGAGACTGAGGTCGGTCTGAGGTAGGGCTGGGCGATAGTTCGATAACGAAAATGATCGCGAAATAATTTTCTTCAATAAAACGATATGAAGAGTTTGATAAATGTTCGATATAATGTTTATGCACCAAAAGCGGAACGAAACAGTGTGACTAATCTGAAACGCACCACACAGACCGTTTATCCGCTCGGATCAAAGTTCAAACTACGCAGCGCGAGCTCACTAGAGCAGATGTGTTTACTCGGTTACGCGAGCACTAAACAGTGCTGTGAGATCCACTGCTTGAATTCAGCGATCTGTCTGAGTCTGAGGTCAGTCTGAGGTCAGTCTGGTTCTTCAGCGTGACTGACGCAGGTTTTTGTTCTTCCAGGTGTCTCAGAGTGCGTCGGCCCGTAGCGTGCAGCCGTCTGCGATACGTGTCGTTCCTCACGTCTTCTCCCCGTCCTCTCAGCTGCAGAACGCCGTGGCGGCCGCCGCTCTGGTCAGCAGGCCAGGTAAGCATGCAGAGCGTCAGGGGTCAAAGGTCAGCAGCAGCAGCGCGAGGAAACGGAGCAGCAGCGCAGCAGGTAGATTCTGCTCAGAACTCGCTCTACTACGGCTAGTTATATAGATTCAGTTTGTGCTTTGAATGAACTTTTAGTTTTGTTCTTTGTTTTTGTTTTACTTTTCATTTTAGTTACAATATGTAGTAATTTTGTGATGTGTTTTTGTCATTTTTATCTTTTTTATTGCTATTTAGGTTTACTTTTTAAGTTTGTTCCGTTTTAGTTTTTATTTAAAAATGTTACATTAACAACTAACTTAAATTCTTTATTCGGTTCTCATTTTAATTTGAGTTTTTTGTTGTTGTTGTTTTTATTAGTTTTCATATATATATATATATATATATATATATATATATAGATTTACCTTTTTTTTATTTTAGTTTTTGTTTATTTCTT